CTAACAGCACCATATGACTTCAATAATGAATACTACATAAAGGACTCATTCGACGTAAAAACAACATTTAATGGATTACAACTTCCTAATGACTACGTTCTTCTAAGTCTAGACGTCGTTTCCCTTTTTACTAATATCTATCTAGACGCTTGTCTAAGATCCATAAACAAACATTGGTCCAACATAAGTAAACATTGCAAAATTGATAAAGATGTCTTTTTAGATTTAGTCCGATTCCTATTCAATAACACACACTTCTCCTTTAACAATAAAATATATAAACAAAAAATAGGCACCCCCATGGGAGGATGTGTGAGTTCCATTCTGGCCTCATATGTTATGGACGATCTCTTAGATATAGTCATTCCTGTTCTTTCATTCAAAATAACCTTCCTAAAGAAATATGTTGACGATATAATTTTAGCCCTACCAAAAGACATGATTAATGAACTTTTATACATTTATAACGACTTCGACCGACATATAAAATTTACAGTAGAAACAGAAGACAAACATCAATCAGTCCCATTCCATAGCACAAAAATTAATCTTATAAAACAAATGAAAAACAGAATTTTACTGATTGCTGATCAATCGCTGCATTATAAAAACCTAAAAATCCTGCAACAACTCTTTCTAGACAATTCATATCCAAACACATTACTTACCAAAATACTATTCAATACAACAAACGATACATTATCTGTAACACAAACTATCCCTAATCACACACCACAAAACACTACACCCACAATAGACACAACCACTAACACTAATTTAACTCCATTTAAATACTTTAGATTACCGTTCATACAAGAGTTAACACCAAAACTTACACGAATTTTTAAATCAACTGATGTTAACATAAAAATCGCGAATTACACAGTGTTAAACATTAACTCAATATTCACTAAACTAAAAGATCAATTATCCAATATAGTCTATTGTATCCCTTGCGGAAGTTGTAACAAAGAATATATTGGCCAAACCAACAGGCACCTAAAAAATCGTATCACTTCCCACATGAGTGACAGTAGACTATATCCTGATAGATGTTCCCTTGCAAAACACGTACATAATGAACACCATGTAATGAACTACAATGAAACAAAGATTCTTGCAATAGAGAATAATCTCAATAAAAGACTCTTCCTCGAGATGGCATTTATCACCCAAATGGATAACTCAATAAATAAGAAATCAGATGTTGAGCATCTGAGTGAGATTTATGCTTATCTATTACATATCGAAAAAACAAACATAACTATTAAATAATTATTTTAACACAACATGTAATTTCAAAATTTTCAAAATCCAATCAATAAACAACTACTATATTAACACCATAGAACTAATTATCTCCTGTTACACGTCAATCAATAACATTCGATATTTGGTATTTCTAGTACTTAACCTTAATGACTGTCTGCGAACTAAACGTTTTTTGTTTTTGTTTTTTAATTTGTATCGTGTCATTTCTAATATTTTAATTTTGAACGTCAATTATACAACTACATGTTATATGTCCCAAAAAGCTGCAATCCACATCGTACCACAAACCATTCTGATGTTAAAATAAATCATATTGCCGCAACCTCAATCAAGTAAGACTTAAACAACAAACAACTATTGAATGTATTTTTTACTTTATTATTTTTATTTTTACCATGTTTTGAATAATTGTAGCTTTCATCTGATGATGCCAATGAAAATTGGCGAAATATAATGAACTGTTGAACAGAGTGCACTTGGCTTTTAATCAGCTGTATACCCAATTAACCTCAACTCCCTTTTCATCTACCAGATCAGCTGTTATTTGGGGCTGGAGGTAGGGTAAGCAAACAAACCAAAACGTTTGCGAATGGCTAGTCTTGCTTTGGTTGGAGAGCTGGGTCGTAAATAAGTAAATAAAGGAGGGATTGGAAGGGGTAACTACAAAGAAAGAAATCAAAAAATACTTGAATTGGACACAGTTTAAAAGAATTCTCTTGCTAGATAGAAAAAAGGCTTTTCTTTTCTAAAAAATAATAAGGATGAAATTCTTTCTAAAGGAAATCATTCTACAACTCCTGGTTTATAGAAAATCATTATATTAATCGCGCAACAGTTATTACAAATAATATTAACAAACCTTACAAGTACATATCTACAAAGTCCTAGTACGTTCGAAACGACTACGGCTCAATTGTTTACAACTCTCCAAAAAAAGTACTTAAAAACAATAGATGTTATTCAAAATACATGTCTTCGAATTTCCTTGGAAGCACATCCCAATACACACCCTATACTGGTAAACTGAAGAGATTCCGTAGAATACTAGATACTATGGTAAGCAGTATCGTCTTATCAAGATAATCCAGTTATACACAACGTATTCGCTGACCGCTTCAAAAGTTGTTTCCAAACTTCAAATCGAACTGATCACCCTTTCTATTACCGCCTACATACCTACTTGTTAACAATAGGTATCCATTTTACAGACACCTATGACATCTCCTCAATTCAAACCCCTCCTCCTTGAACAATTCGACTTCCCTCTACTGACACCAGCTTATTACGTCTAAACAAATCAGAAACGCCAGCAAGTCAAATTAATCAATTAAAATGGGGCAGCAGTCTACTCATCAGATTATACAGAAGCTTACAAATTACCTCCATATACAACAACGTTTTCTGCTGTACTGTATGCAATACTAAAAGCACTAGTTCTGATAGTTACCAAAATAAAAATAGAAATATAATTACTACAGATTCTCTCAGCTCAATAATGGCATTAAATCAACTCTACTATAATCATCCACTATCCCTTCTCTTTAAAAAGGAACTAAAACATGCAGAAAACATGAACATTAAAGTTAATTTTATATGGGTACCGTCACATACTGAAATCGAAGGAAACGAGTTTGTAGACAAGGTAACAAAAAATGCACCTACTAATCCAAACGCAGAAGAGAATACGAAATCTCTTCACACTGACCTAAAAGCTTTCTTTAAAGAAAAGATTAGTTCAATATGGCAGGATACATGAAATAACTTTTCAACCAAGTTTTACGAAGTTGATATTAATCATCAAAAATTCCCAAAATTTAACAGTAGAAGAACACAAGGAACCTTCACTTACTTCCGGATTGGTCGTACTCGGTTAACACACGACTACCTACTAAAACGTGCTGATAAACCTGTGTGTGACAAGTGTAAAACGGTCTTAACTGTAAAACATTGTTTATTGCAGTGCCCAAATATGATGTGCAACGCAAAAGGCCCAGAAACTATAAAAGAAGCCGAGGACGACCACCAAATAGATGGACCGATGATATAAAACGTGTAGCGGGAAACTGGTTACAAGCGGCCCAGTGTAGAGAACACTGGAAAGAACTGAGGGAGGCCTATGTCCAGCAGTGGACGTGATTGGCTGAAAGATGATGATGACTAATTTGAGTATTTTACATATTTAGATTATAAAATGAACTTTCGCTTATACGTTCAATCGACACATTATTAATGTGAATGAGAAATTATTTATTATAATTAATAATCTTATATATTATTTTTATTATTATAGCAGAAACATAATATGTTATTGTTACAATGTAAAGTATCCAGTGAGGAAACATATTTCTTACGCGTCGTCAATGATCAAATTCAAAATTTTCTAGAATTCATGTTGGGCATGTGACTTTGGCTAGGAGAGAATTCACGCGGCTGAAACCATGGAGATTCCGAAGAGCAACAGTGTGCCTTTTAAAATCTACAAAATAACATACACAATATGTTCCACAAGGAAACTAATCTCCTGTAGTTGGCTGTATACCATGTACATATACCTATGTAATACTATGTTTTTTTCGTAGCTACTATTTTAAATTAATTTAAACATACTTATTTAATCAGTAGTTGTTCTTTGTGATCTAAATCCTTCCTGGTATTCTTCGATCACTTTGATCCCTTCGATCTCCTTCCTGGAATCCTTCGATCACTTTGTTATTACGTTTCATTAATCCTTTCTTAATAGTTTTTGGAAGTATTGGATAGAGTACTTCTAATAGCGGTATACCTCGATAGTTTTCGCAATCCGTTTTTATTAATACGACAAATAAGAGCGCTATTCCATTGTTTCAGCATTTTTTCTTTTGGCCAAATTTATAATATGCTGAATATTCTTTCTTTCACTTTTTCACCGCCTTCCTTAAAAATCTCAGCCGAAACCCCACTTTCTTCTGCCCTTTTGTTATTTTTAAGTCATTTATTATTTCTTTGACTTCATTCGAAGTTAATTCCTCTCAAGTCCCTTCTTTATATTTTTGCTAATTCTCATTTCCCCCTAGTTCCTTTTATTGTATTTAATAAATGTTCGAAGTAATCCGCTCGTCTATTTAATTTTTCTGTTGTTTCTTCTAGAAGTGAATCTTCTTGGTTTCTACAATACTTTGTATTATTATTTTTTGTGTCTCTGGATCTCTTAAATTCTTGGTAGAAATTTTTTATCTCTTTGTCTGTCTTTTTATTTCTTTTCTAGTTGTTCTCTTCTCTTCTTTTTGCCAATTTTTTAAACTTCTCTTCTTTTAGCTACATAGTTTTCGATCGAATTCTGGTTATTTCTCTATCTATTCTCTATCTAATTTTGCCCTGTTTCTTCTTGCCAAGCATTCCTACATTCTTCATCGAACCAGTCTTGACAGCTTTTATATGCACTGTTCCTATATACTTTTCAGCTGTCTCCGACATGATTGTCTGATAGTGCTGCCATTCTCCTTCTATTTCCTGCTTGACTGGATTCTCTAGCATTTTAATAATTAACTAATAGTTAATTAACTAATTAACTAATTAATAAAGTATTTTTTACATAGTGTGTACATCAGTTAAGTCGAAAAAATTATATTATCATTATTATTATATTAACCATGTTTAACTAATTGACATATTTAAATTCAAGCCAAAAAATCTGTATATCTATTAATCTTTATTAAAAATAAATATTGAAATACATAAAATTTACTTACAGTTGGAGCAATGTTTTTACGAGACCCTTGTATATTGATTTTGTAATATTTCGACTTTGAAGGAAAATGGTTTTTGCATTTTTTATTTTGAAAAACCGTCAAAAATGACCTAAATAAATTTTTCTTCGCAGTTTTTCTCTTCTCACCTGTAATGTAAAAATATAGATACCAAAAATAATTAAAACTATTTAAAAAAGGCAAAACAAGTAGATACTAACGAAAAACAAGGTACAACAAATCAAAAACTAAAATAAAGCCCAAATTATAGATGACTGATGTTTAAATGTATCAAATGATAGCATAACAGAAATGGTAAACTCATGGGGATCATGAAAAAGTCATTGATCCATGCCAAATATTTTAATTTTGTCAATCAAACTATATAGTTACAAAAATATGATTCATTAGTAATAGTATATTATTCCAAATATTCTACACAATTAACTGATGTGTCGGGCACATCGGTTACAAGCGTTAAACATGTTAAACATGTGAAATCGTAGGCTTCCACGGCCAGAGTCAGAATTATAGTTTATTCGTCTTCCGGGTTTGGACCGTGTCATTTGTGAGTGACCCAAAAGTGGGTTCATCTCGACGTTTCGCTACAATTGTATGTAGCTTCTTCCTGTCCTGGCATTTGGTTTTCACCTCTGGCTGCGTTAAGTAGTTGAGTTACTGTGACCATATGCCCATCTTGGTAGTTAGTATTCGCCTCTGGTTGCGTTGAGTAACTGAGTTACCGTTGCTAACTACCCATCTTCCTGTCTTTTGATTTCTTTTTCTTTGTTCTCCTGAAGAAGCTACATACAATTGTAGCGAAACGTCGAGATGAACCCACTTTTGGGTCACTCACAAATGACACGGTCCAAACCCGGAAGACGAATAAACTATAATGTTAAACATGTCGTAACTTTAGTTGCAGGTAATGAGATGAGTGCACCTGGGTATAAAAAAAGTAAAGACAGGATAACCGTGTTGTCTTGTGTCAATGCGTCTGGCAGCGATAAACTGAAGCTGACTGTGATTGGAAAGTCAAAAAATCCTCGCGCTTTTAAAATATGAAACGACAGAATCTCACAATTCACTATTATAACCAGAAGGCTGCCTGGATAACTTGTGACATTTTCAAAGATTGGTTCTATGAAAACTTGACTCCTGAAATAAAGTTTATTATATATAAAGTTTATATTTGAAGAAAGAAAGATTACCACAAAAGGCGGTTCTTCTTTTGGATAATGCTGGTGCTCATCCCAATGAGGCGACTCTAAGATCTGACGATGGAAATTTCTTTGTTCTTTTTTTTCCAGCCAATATTACATCCATTGCTCAACAAATGGATCAAGGTGTTATTGAGACAATGAAACGACTCTACCGAAAAAAAATTATGATGAACTTGTTGGATGAAGTTCATCTGAAAAAGTGTTTGAAATCGTTCACCATAAAAGATGCAATTTTTACAGTGGCAAATGCATGGAAGGGAAATCCCACTATCAAAAGAGCTTTTTACAAAATAATGACGCCAGAGAAAGATGAAAGTATCATGGAATATGATGATAAAGACACTACCATAGCTAAACTAACTGCACTAGTGCGCAACGCCGATGTGTTTGAAGAAATTGATGAAATCGAGGTTGAGAGATGAACAGAGTGTGATAAAAATGAGTCAGGCTATCAGCTCTTCAGCAACGACGAAATTGTCGAACTGGTTTCCCATCAGCCGGTACGTCACAACCTGATTCATCCGAAAATGAGAGTCAAGATGAAGACAATGATGGAACGTTAATAATCAACAGAATAACTAACCAAAAGGCTGAGAAAGCTGTCAATGTTGTATAGACTATTTTGAGCAACAACAATCTTCATTGTCGATATTTTAAATTTGCGTAAAATACGTCAGAAAATTATAAAAAATCGAAAACTCTTAACATAGGCCAAAGTGACTGATTTTTTTTCAAAAGCATAGCCACCTAAAATATATAATACCTTTATTTAGTTTTTTTTACTATTTAATATAAAAATTTATTTCGGTAGAAATCTGTTTTTTGTTCTGTTATGTATATTTTTATATACTATAAAAGTTAGTTTGAACTTATGAGTTTAATTTTTTCTATTATCTTTTTATGATAGTGATATATGCATGTATGTACAATGTATATATGTACATATACATTAAAAAATGTTCGGATTATCCGTGCATTTCAATTATCCGTGCCACCGCCCGGTCCCGTGAAGCACGGATAATCGGGGTTCTACTGTATACTTATAGGAAGAATTATTCATTCATAAATTTCAAATTGGTAAAGTTTCTACGATGTCAGTTGGACAAGTATAAAAATAAAATTCGACACTCAAGTGTCGGCGTCTTCTGTAAAACATAGCCGGCGCAATAGAAATTAAATAATAAACTTTTATTTTTAAATTAAGGTTATAAGGGGAATTTTGTGGTAGGTACACGGAATACACATTAAACACTTGTTATTAAAATTATATTGAGATTTTTAACATTAAAGTTGAGAAAAAAATAAAAGTCAGCGCGGAGATGTTACTTCTTTGGTTTTCTCTTCCAACTGCTTCTCTCGGGGGGCTTCGTGTCGGCTCGAGCGGTCGGCACAGCCACTGAGATTATAGTATGGGAGATTAGTGGGTGCATAGTATGGGAGATTAGTGGTTAATAGACAGGTGGCTGTTATAGTCTCCCCCTTTGCACCACATAATCGTCTCGAATGTGGGGCAAGAATCTATCTTGAGGTGGTATTCTTCTTAGGGCGTCCTCTTCTACGGAATAGGCCTAATGGGCTCTGGAGGGGCTTCTCCAGGGTCTGCACGATAGGGCGTCAGCGCAGATACGTGGTAATTTTCCAACAGGAGCATCTGGGTTGCTGACAGAAGCGATTTTCGTAGGTTGTAGGAGTCACTATACGAAGAATGCGATACGGTCCATCACGACGCGGTACAAATTTAGATGTACGCATCTTACTTGCATTACTTAGGACGTGAGTGTCCACGAGAACTTGATGACCCACATTAAAAGCGACGTCACGATGATGAGAGTCCTGATAAGAGTTTCTACGGTCCGGGTTAGTTCATGCTTTTCGCGCGCGGCACGTAACGTATCACTAAGAGTAAGCAAATACGGAGTGATTTGCGGCACAAAATTCTCAGTCTGCACTATCGCACGAAAGTCTCGATTGGCGTCATCCGGGGTGCGTAACTCGCGTCCGAATGTTAGATACGCCGGTGAAAAAACCTGTCGATTCACACTTGGCAGAGTTCATTGCGAAACGTACGGCGGAGAAGTTTATCTGACCAAATCGTATGATCATCTTTTGATAAGATAGCTAATTGGTTTTCATGTCGCGATTTTTGCGCTCAACAGGGTTCGATGCGGGGTGGTACACAGGAATCAGCGATTGTGTAAAAACCGAAACACTCTGCGACCGTTTGCATTACGAATCCAGCGAATTGTACGCATTGTCACTTATTACCCGTCGAGGCAATCCGTACCTCAGTATGACTTCGTCGATTAAAGACTTGGCACAGCGGCAGCGGTTGCAGTTTTTAGTGGAAAAAGTTCCACCCATCGACTTGCGACGTCTTCAACTATAATATACCCAGCAGTAACCATCTGCAGTCACTCTGGTAATGGTCTCCAAACAAGTCTATGCTAAGTACTTCGAAGCGTTGGGACTGTATAGGCGTCTGTAGTAGGCCTGCAGGTTTTAAGTTAGTAAGGCTTAAATTTCTGGCAGTCTATACAATTAACGTAAGTAGTCAGCGATTGTCCTGCGCATACCAAGCCAAAAATATCTTTTAGCAATGCGCTGATATGTGCGTTCGACACCACAATGACCTGCTTGTCAGTAAGATCATGGTATAGGTATTGTTTTAGAAAAATTTGTGGAATACAGCACTAGCTACTACAAGTTGTGGCTCGTCTTCATCAATGTCTGGGGTGTAGCGGTACAAAAGTCCATATGACATCACATATCCTCTCTCCACCCACTTTTTGTATTCAACAGAAGTCTCGTTGGGGTCTTCAAGCCCTTTTATGATTTTCTCGATATCAGGGTCAGAAACCTGTTCTTGTCGAATATCGGTAGCGCTAAGTGTAGGGAAATCGGCTACAACATAGGTTACTTCTATTGTTTCGACTTCTACTTCCTCAGTTTCATTGCGTGGGTGCCGCGAAAGTGTATCGGCAACCACATTTTTCTTTGCCAACAATATATTCTATGCGCAAATCATAAGGCATTAATTCTAGAGCCCATCTGGCGAGGCGTCCGGTTGGTGATTTAATAGACATCAGCCATTTGAGGGGCTGTGGTCGCTGTTGAACAAACAGTGGTGGTAGCGTCTTCTCAGATAACCTCTGAATTTCTTTACAGCCCACACGACGGCAATAGCTTCCCGTTCCGTCGTGCTGTAGTTCTGCTCTGCGGAAGTCAAGAGTCTAGATGCATATTCCACTGGTCGTTCATCGTCGTTCTCCCCCTGGAGTAAACATGCACCGATTGCATAACCACTAGCATCTGTGCGTAATATGTAGGGTAGTCTGCTGGTCCGCTTGCCTTAAAATTGGAGGCGAACACAGTAGAGTTTTAAGTGTTTCAAAAGCTTCGTGTTGCTTATGGCCCCAGGTCCATTTAAAGTTCTTCTTCGTCAGAGTGCTTAACGGCTTTGAAATCTCAGCGAAGTTTTCTATGAAACGCCTGTACCATGAGCAAGTTTGTAAGAAACTTAAGAGTTGTTTCACGTCATTAGGAGGCGGCATGTTGAGTATTGCAGCTACTTTTTCGTTATTTGGCGAAATTCCTTCAAGGGTAATAATGTGGCCTAAGTAGTGCACTATTTCACATACAAACGAACATTTCTCCCGATTTAGTGTGAGTTTGTATAAGATCAGCCTTTCGAATACCTTCTTCAGGACTCCTAGGTGTTCTTCAAAACTGGACGAAATAACTGTTAGGTCATCAAGATAGGCTAGTATAAAGACATCTTGCAGGCCTGATCTGAAGCGGTCAATCAGACGCTGAAAAGTAGATGGCGCATTACGGAGTCCAAAAGGCATGCGTGTGTACCTAAATGTACCAAAAGGTGTCACGAAAGCAGTTTTTGTCTCTATCACTCTCTTTGACGCTAACCAAAT